AAATTTCATTCAGATAAGAAGGGGCTATATGAGAAAAACATTCTTGAAATTTGGAAGTACGATGCCTATGTATGTTGAATGAGTTAATTCTCAAATTGACCATAAGTATGTCGGAATGCCTGGTTAATAGACTTTATAAATAACTAGGTGTTTTAGTTTGAAGCAACTTAAACAAAAAATTTTTTATCAAATATTGGACTCTGTACCTCACATTGAGCTCCTTAATTTTCAACAAAAATGGTGTGACATGTAAATCATATGGTATATACAGCATACGAATTACATGCAAGTATTTGGTATAAGTTGTATCTTCTGCTTGTTATATTGCTGCAAAAAATTGTAATACACCGAACAACAATACTCGATAAGGGGGTAAATAAGAATTTTAACATGGGTTTTATTTCTTCTGATGACTGATACTTGAATTTATATAGCGATTTGAGTTTGAAGAATGATAGTTTGAAAATGTTTGTCACATGCTCATGTAAAGACTATGGTTACGCCAAGATTTTTAGCACTGTCTATCCAGTCAATGTCTGCGTTATCGAGAGTGAGCCTAAAATTACACTGAGTTTCTACTATTTGCCTTTGAGACCCTATGCATAACGCTAAAGTTTTATTTGGATTGATTTTCAGTCAATGATTCACCGAGTATAGAAATGTTTTGTGCAACTTTCTGTATCGGTGTTATGAGAAGACAAATATAACTGTATATCACCTGCTTATAGATGTACTTGACAATGCCACAAGAAAGTGGGGTAATCAAAACTAAATACTGAAAACATCAAGGGTCCTAAAATACTTCTCTGCGGTATATAGAAGTGATTTGAATTCAACTGATAGTACCAATTCGGTAGTAATGGCTTTATGATGAAAATTATTAGGTAATAGTAGGTCCCTGTCCTCCTGAACCTGAACAAAAGCATTTTGTGAAAATGTCATAAATTCAGTTATGAAATGGTTGGAAAATGGCCCAGAAATGTACCAGATACCGACGCACTGTATTGAATGAATTGATTACAGGTCATTGGTTTGCAAAAAACAATTCAAGTCCTTGCAATTTACTTGAATGAGTTTGCCATGTCGTGATGGAGTTAAAAACGCAACTTGGGTTATGAATAAAGGATGAGTAACCTATAACCTTCAAACAATTTGGTTTCTAGACAGTCATTGCCAGGACCGTGAAAAATATCGGCTAAGGTGTATCAACTTCCGAAATGAGTACAGATACATTAAATATTCACCTCGACATACACATTCAACAAGTGTTTTGTCCATCAAATTCTGCAGCCTAAGCTGCAGTAATAATATTCCAGCTATGAAGTGTTGACCTCTGTTGATATTTTATCTTCACGTTCTTTTTATTGTTGTTGAAGTTTAATGTAAGTTATTCAATCAACCTTGCACGAATTACTAAACAATTATGATAGGTAGAACTTCACTGGGAAATAATTGAATAACTCATCACAGTATTCATTCTCTATTTAAATAATTCATAGTCTTTTTCGACTTTCAGCTACCCTATGTATGTAACTCCAAATTCTCGTTTTTTTTGCATGTCTTCGAGTAGGTATGCAATGCCAAAATTTGATGCAATGGATATACTCAGATCGACTTCATAGAGATTAGTACCTCATGACCCGTTAGATTTCCACTGATATAGAAGTATCATTAGTGAATCGAATGAAAGTTTAAATGTTCCTTCTTTTGGCATAATATAGAACCAAACAACTACATGGAAGAGTATGTTAATCAGGAATTAGTCATTAAATATTGTGTTTATAGCTGAAAAACGTAAACTTTGGAATTATGGGTAGTCCATTGATCACGTCATATTTTCAGGTATCTTCTCAACCTTCCCCTCCCTCTTGAGATAGGCGGTGAGATTTCAGACTAATTCCCTTCCACTACCCATGTAATGTGAATTTTTTTGGAACAAAGTGATTCTACAAAAAGGATTTGAAGCTTTATATCTTCTATAAATTATCTGCGAGCGCTTTCGACAGTTGGTAGTACTGTCATCTTCTAGGCACCCTTCAGTTTGAAGGATTGCGGTGGAGGGTCGAATAGACCCACCCACTTTGGACCTAACGTAACTCTCTGTGGCTCATCTGTTCACAAGAACATCCATGAAGGCTAGTCTGTTGAGTTTCTCGTGCCATTGTGAATTGGATTTTTGGGTCATTATCCTAAATTTTCTATGAAAAAGTTTGCAATCTCCGGATTTAATGGACAGCCCATCACGGTACTATCCGATTGCTGGTAAAGAGCACCATCCCACTGTAAATAAGTTGATAATGTGCAATGAGTGAAGAGGGCGGATATGTCTGCTAGAAATATTTCGCTACTTAACCGTATCGTGTCCTTAATCGGAACCATCGTGTATGAGGAGACCACGTCGAAGCTCACTAGTATGCCTTCAGGACCTAGCCTAACTTCATATCTTACTATTTATATAATTGTACTGTTAGACAGGTAGTTGTGTAGACAAAAGTACTTAAGGTAATCAGTGTAAGGAAAATTCCGTGACGTCATTATAATATTATAATTTACCTATTATTCAATAAATGTTATTTGTAATAAAATATATAACGTATTCAAAAAACTCTTCATTGTGAGATTTCCACTAAACAGTTTTACAAAAAGGCAACTCGTGTTCCGCCATACAATGGCTTCTTCGGCCATGTCTTTACCTGTTAAGGTGTCTTTACCTTAACTAATAACAACATTTATGACCTGTTTTAAATGACCACCTTCAACGCAACGAAAATAAAATGAGCGGAAAAAACATTAACAATTAACGATTATTTTCTATACAGTTTGATTTCCATTAATTATATCTTCAACATTGATGACGAAAATCTTTTCAAAGATCATCTTCAAGACAGATAACCTCAAATAGTAATGCACCGTGAATAATCATCATTCATGTTCATGGCATGCATCACTTTACAATACATGTACGAGTATTTCATTTTGTTATGATCAACTGTCAATGAATGTTTGTAATCGAATGTCAAGCTCAATTTTGATTTCACTGTAAAATCGATAAACAGTTCACAAAGATCAGAACTAAATAATAAATACGAGTTAAGTATAACATTTACAGGGAGGAAAATAATTTGGAATTGAATTGTAATGGAACTGTGATCTATTGTAAACTGTGAGCTGGAGTTAGATAAAGAATATGAACGGTATCCGTCCTCGCTCTTATGAAGCCTTGTAATGGAAGAGTTACTACGTCTTCTAGATACAAAGTACTAGGCTACTCGGACCACTTAGCCTCTCCATTGTCCAGAGCAAATATAGTGAAGGGACGTATGTAGTAGGCCCTGAATATTATAACTGAATGATGGTGATGATGATTTCGTTGGGCTGAACATAAGCCCAACGATATCGACCATATTAGCATTCACCAAAACAGAGGGTCTAGGACTTCTGAAACTCCCATCACCAACCAAGTTGGTGATGCACACCACATTGTTTAAAATTATCATTAACTCATTCAATTGTTCCAAACGGATATCAATTTCATCAGAATCAACTAACAAGTCGTCCATATAGGCTATTTGATCGGAGCTTTTCGCCAAGAACTTTTCTGAGACACCCAATCAAGATGGTTATGAGCGTGCTCAGCTCAAATGAAAAACGTGAATATTTCCCTCTCATAAAAAATCATAAAAGCTATGGCACCTCCTGATCAGAATCTGTGATTATTCAGCTGTTAAAAATCGATGACTTGTCCGACCTTCATATCTGTTAAAAATCCTTTTTTGGTTCGATTAACAAAATCGGAAAATGGTAGATAACGAAAATAGATTGGGGTTACTCAAATCAGTTGATTTGACTGAATTAGATGATAGCTAATTATCTCAGCCGATGAGATAATGATAGCCGATATCTCCTCTTTTGAATGACCCCAATTATTCTCTCCCACTGATCTTCACCCTACAAGATGGGCACTGAGCGAAATCAGTCGAATTCAGGCTCCAGCTCTCCCAGTATTATGAAATAATAATTATTTTCAGGCACTGGTTACCCAGACATAGAAATAATGTTCATTCCTTCAAATGCCACCACAGACCTTTCGCAGAGAGCTTTCAGATTGACTGATCAAACATATGAAGACGTTTGGGCGTACATCAACAGAATCCAGTCCTTCGTACTCTACATCATCTCACTTCACTCGGACTCTATCGGAACAGTAAGACTCGCAAGTAAGGATCCCTTCGAATATCCTATCATAGATAACAGGTTCCTTTCCGATCCTCACGGAAGAGACATAGAGAGAATTTACGAAGGTATCCAAATCATGCTGGACATAGCAAAAACCAGGGCAATGAAGAAACTTGGGACAACCATACAAGGCGGTCCTTTGAGAGCCTGTAGCAGGCACAGATATCTCACAAAAGCGTACTGGTATTGCGCTATTCGCCAAATGACGATGAACATTTACCATCCAGTGGGAACATGCCGAATGGGTCCGTACCCGGAACGAGGTGACGTTGTGGATCCCGAATGTAAGGTACATGGAGTGAAAGGCTTGCGTATTTCCGATGCCAGTGTTTTTCCGTTTCCTTTGGCTGGTCATCCGACAGCAGCAGTTGTGTTAGTGGGAGAGATGGTATCTGATTTTTTGAAGCAAGAGTATTTGTATGGTAGATATTGAGACTTGATTAAATATTTAAAGTAACTGTATCCATGATTACTCCTTCTGAAACCATATATTCCTCAAATTTCTGAATAAAGACCAAGTTTTTTCTCAAGAATACTTGTTTTTGTTGAAGTTTTGAAATGTTTTCACAATCTTGAAGAAGAGATGAAGGAAAATGACAAATGTACAAAAGAATATATAGAAAATAATCAATTATTGCAAAAATTTAGCACATGTAGTATTTATCTTTTTGGAGAAAACTGATGCCTGGGTTTTTATGACATTGAATTGAACTTGGTTGGTTTCACCCCAACTCGAAATCACTTCTAGATCCTCATCAAGATATGCAACCTCCTGCTGCCGATGGAGATGTGCATCCGTAGTCGATATCCTGGAATCCAAATGGAATGACGACACAAGTATGATCTTGTCAACAGAACAATATATTGGAATTTCCAATAAGTCGTTGATATACAATAAAAAAAGTGTAATAGACAATATGGATTCCTGGTAAACACCAGCGTTGATGGTAACAGTATTCGAGAGATATCCATCGATGGTCATTTGCAGGGAACTTTTTTCAGGAAGTTGGAGAGGCATACACAAAAATGATCCTACAAGCCAATAGCATCGAAGTTTGAACACCAAACCCTCATGCTACACACGATCAAAGGCCTTAAGAATATCCAGTGCAACAGTTCTTGACTTCCCATGTTTCTCGATTGCGTTATTCCGAATATGGGTGACATACAATAGAAGGTCGCCTGTTGATTTGCGTTTCCGAAAGCCATATTGATGAACGCTCAATATGTTAAAGCCTTCCAAATATTTAAGGATATGGTGGTTTACGGTTCTCTCCATGATTTTTGATATCACTGATATCAAAGCGGCTGGTCTATAGTTATTTGGAAGATGCAAGGTGATAATTTGTCTAGATACATTTAAACACATCAACATAGCTCATCAGAAGTAGTGTTTATCATATCCCGATGATGCTAATCTGGTTAACAAAACACGCGTCGAAAGAAAAATGTTTTCAGATGCACAGATGCATCTAATCATTCTGAGCCAATCCCTGCTCTATTGAAAAAATGACCAACGTACATCCAAACAGAATGCCTCGATTTATATAGTCAATGAAAATCAGATTTGTTTTGTTTTTGTTTCCCCTCCTGGTATAAACCACTACTTGATACGTATGTGATGATTTCTTAAAATTTCTTGGAATGTTCAGTAGACAACAAAAAATTAAAAAGTTAGAATTATCAGTAAGATATAAAGTAACATAATTTTATTCTGTAATAATTAATGATATCATCAATTGAACTTGATATCGTCAAATGGGTCTGTTTGATCATTTTAAACAATTTATTGTGAAATATAATATCACTGAGAAAGATTCAGTGTGGTGACCTTTAACTACGGAGAAATACAATTAGTGTTGTGATCTCCACAAGAGAACTTCTGCATTTCATGAACGGTTTCGAATACTTACGTTGAGTGTTAAATATTTCTGAGGTGTATGTTGTGTTATAAGACATAAACGAGCAAAACTGTTCATTTTTCTCAATGACAGTACCAGAAGATTCAAACTTCAATCTCGTTTTTGGCATTTAGTTCTACTTCAACTACCGCAACTGGATTTTTCACTTATTTTATTAATTTTAAATGTGAGTCATTATTTTACTTACTATGATCATACGATGGCATGCTTGGAATATTCTAGATGATACACAAGTTTTGTGTGCACATACTTTATTTTTCTCAAGTTGTACAAAATAACATAACTCAATTATTCGCCATTGTTTCTATAATTTTGTAACATTTGCTTTGTTCATAAAACATTTGCTGTGTCCATAAAACATTTTTAGTTAAAGTAGGTTCAATTATTCCGTGACAAAGTGGTGATCATACTAGTGAATGAAATCTTCATCTTTTTCTGAATCGAAAAAATTGATTTTCGTTTGATTAATGTTCATTTAATAGTAATTATTTCAAAAGTTCTTTTTTTTTCGTGTAATGTCTATATACAAGTAGTTGTTTCAGGAGAACTTCCATGCATGATTTACGAGTAGAAATCTCTGAACTTAATTGCTACCTTCCTTTGGAAGTTCTCCACATTTTTTTCAAATGATGGAGAGGCAGAAAGAAAAACTTTTTTTATATCTAAATTTCATTTTGCCATTGCCTCTCAACCTCGTATCTGATTTCAATTCGAGGAAAATATTTTTTTTTCAATGACAAGCATCTTTATTATGTATAATTACCATAATATTGAGAGAGACTCTTAATAGTCCCCTCTGTCTTTTCTATTTTTTCAAAAACTTTACCGTAACTTCAATATTATCAGTTTCACAGCTTCGAATTTGTCATTCTCAAAACAAGTTGCATAATCAGTGATACTGAGGGTCGAAATAACTGGGCTGCCTGAATACTTTTGTGAATTAGGTAGGTAGGTAGGAAAGAGATGGTTTGAACAAGAGAGCAACAGAAAATACATAAATACAATAAACCGTTTACGATCAAATCACGCTATCTGCCCAGCTTACAAATTCAAAATTGGATTAACAGATAATCCTCTATGCTCATGTGGACATTATGGCGATGTCAATCACATAATATTAGAATGTTCGCACCACATACACAGTATAAATAAATACCCTTTACTCTGAATTGAAATTTCATAATATCTTTTTTCCAATGAACTCAAATTATATGTTAACTTGAAACAACAGAAATATAAAAATGATTCTACAATCATCTAATAAGATGCAAAATTAAAGTATGAATGATTGATTGTAAATATAGTTATAGTACTACTAACTTATTCAAAAATATAAAACAAATCAAGAAAAAACACTTATTTAAAAAGAAAAAATACAAAAAATTAAATCAAAATGCAAAAACAAAAAAGAAAAGAAAAAAAAACGAAAACAAACAGAAATGAAAATTCAAAAAGCAAAAAACGAGGGAAAAAATCTATGTTTGAGCTACTACTCAATGTTACTTTCAAATAGTTTTTTATTAAAACAGTCTGGCTAATTGGTTCTCTCAAAGCCAAAAAATTTTAAACCACACACACACACATTCATCAACATTCATCATTATTATTCGATCTGAGAAATACTAATCTATGAAATCTTCATTTAAAATCGTGTTTTTGAGTATGTCTGATGAAATTCTTTCACTTAGAAATCCATGATCAATACACCCCAAATATTCTTTCCTTTTTCTTGTTTTTCAATTTATTTTTCGCTGGAGAATGATAATTAAAGAAAATTGAAAGTTTCGACTCCAACTATATACCGCCGTGTTGGATTTCCCTACTACAAAAAATTTTGAGAACAATATATGTAAATTCTATGTGGCTTAATGCAACTGATTCTACATGTGCGAAGTCAAACCCTGAAAACTATGGATGGCATTTGGATTTAGATTTTTTAAAAACAACAGGTTTCATCGGAGATCAAACTCCTTTGAAAATCCAGGACATCGTCGAAGTAAAAGAGAAGGAGGAAGACTCTAATAAATCAGAAGAATTCGAGTGCGACAATGATACTTCTTATGAATCAGATATCGAAATTTTGCACATAGAAAATAAAGGTCTGAAACTGAATCATTTGGAAGCAATAGAAATGAATAAACTTAAAAATTCAAACATTCTAATGAATGACCAACTAGATTTGAATAGATCACCATTATTGAACTTGTTCTCTTAAAAACCGAGAAAGAATTATTATTGATGTAGATGTGAGGCGAAATGCTTTAGGTTATCATAATTGAACAGGTACGATATGTACAAATCACTTGAAAAAGCTAATGTCTTAGCGAAACATGTTGTGATATATTTTTCAAATGAAGTTTGTGGAGATCAAATCGTTGAGGTGTAGTTTTTGAAATTACTATGGATCTTCATCAAGTAACGGCCGAATCAATCAGTCAATTATTCAGAATCTTTGGAAATTCACAAGCATGAACATTGCGGATGCAACCTGTTAAATGATCAAATCGACTTGGTTTACTCACCGGTTGTCAAATTAGCACATCCGCATTGTAAATTGTGAATTCAGGTACTCAATCAAGCAAAGTACCTCTATTATTACCTAAAGGGGTGCTATATAAGGGCTGATGTGATAAACCATCAAAAGTTTAATGTATAAGTTTGAAAATGTCCTTATAGGACGAAACTGCAGTAACGTTAGTTACAATTGAAAGTGGTAAAAAACATAGAAAGTTTCAATTTTCTTTTCTTCAACATTTAATTTTTATGCAAGATGAAATATCGAATGAAATGAAAACAGTTGATGTTTATTCATATTATTCACCGGAAATGTTTGTCAATATCCAATGAATTATCATTTTTACAATACTATTAATATTGATGAATTGCGTTCATTGAATTCTCATTGACTGGTACATTTTGCAGATATTTATGTTTGGGAGACATCGAAAATTATTTTCTTCCAACATGCACATTCTTCCATTATTACTAATCATCTTTCTACGGTGTGCTGACTCAAAATTTGAATCTAAAGCGGAATACCTAGCAAAACTTATAGAAACAGAAATTGAAAAAGCAAATAACTTCGTTTTACCAACTGATGCAAGGATATATGAACCTACATCCAACGACACTTCTATAGAAGGTAATAATTTTTTCATATTTTCCTAATATATGTGCTTGATAAATTGAATTCTCTAGATTTTGGTGAATACGACTTCGTAATAGTTGGTGCAGGACCGACAGGAACAGTAATAGCTAACAGACTATCGGAAGTGGAGTCCTGGAACATACTACTCCTAGAAGCTGGAGCTTTTGGAAATGATTTCACCGATATCCCTGCATATGGATCAACTGTGGCATCGAGCTCATTTAATTGGGGCTACATGAGTATTCCTCAGAAGACAGCATGTTTGGGTTAGCGAAAATATTTTCATTATTTAGCGAGCGATTAGTGGCCGGAATAAAGTTTGAATTTCATCCGTTCGGACTCCCATTGTCTGATATTATATGAAATGATTTTTGAAACCGTTGAAAGAACTAATAAAAAATTGAATTGAAAATGAATAGCTGAAAATAACAATTATATTAAACAAAAAACCTGTGATGACAGTCATCACCCGAAGGCGATTGTGGGTACCAACAATCGAAACGTCGTGAAGTACTTTGGCTTGGCATGTCTTAACTTCTTATTTTTAGTTCAATTGTTCTATTTTTACTTGTATTTTATTTCACAATTATTTCATTTCAGGTTTTTTTGCTTAATATAATCGTTATTTCCAGCTATTCATTTTCAATGTTTCTTTTTTTATTAATTCTTTCAAGGGTTTCAAATCATTTCATACCATATTAGACAATGAAAGTCCGAACGAATGAAATTCATCATGAAACATTATCAATCACCTTTAAACAAACGTAGAATGAGGTTTGTTGATCATTCGAGCGAGTAAACCTTTCTCGCGAGTAGAATACTAGACTTTTTCTATGACTCATAAAAGATTCTACTCTGCTATTAGCCTATTGATCTCCTCAGTCATTTAGTGTAACATAAAGTTAATCGACTCTCTAACCAGTTGCATATTGTTATACGGTTGTTTTGCCCATTTTAATGTCAATAGATTTTGTAGCTCCATATCTCAATGGATAAGGAGCTCAAAAACGGCAAACCTTGGTTGAACAAAAATTGCGAGGAAAAACCGAACTAGGTTTGATAATGCTCGCAACAGCTGCAAACTTAGGATAAATGAAAGCACATAACTTCACAATCAGATAATTAGGGATAAACTGCTTGCCAATCCCAACGGATCTAGATCCATCTGGTCGGTAGCTAAAGCTGTTAATCGAAACTTCACAAAATCCACAATTCTACCACTAACACAAGCGGATGGTTCAATTGCAACAAGAGCCATAGTAAAAGCAAATCTACTACCCGAACAATTCGCATCTCACTCCACAGTCGATTTTCTGGGAAAGGTGCCACCCACTATTCACACTCTAGAATGCCCGAAATTACTTTTCGACAACGTCCAGTCAGGCAATTTCTGAAACAGCTCAATATCAACAAGGCGTCTGGTCCTGATGGTCCCGTCATCGCACCAGTTTTTTGCAGACTTTTTAACCTGTCTTACAAGAAAGGAAAGATTGCTCGCGTTCAACCTATTCCCAAAAAGGACAAGAAAAATATCCCAAGTAACTATAGACCAGTCGCTTTGCTATCAGTCATATCAAAAATCACGGAGAAGGCCGTAAACTACCATATTCTATATTCTCAAATATTTGGGAGGCTTCAACATCTTGAGCGATCATCAATATGGCTCTCGGAAACAAAAATCAACAGGCAACCTTCTATCGCATGTCACCCATATTTGAAATAAGGCTATCGAGAAACATGGAGAGTCAAGAACTGTAGCGCTTGATATTTCTAAGACCTTCAACCGTGTGTGGTATGAGGGTTTGCTGACCAAACTTCGATGTTAAATCTTGTCTGATAATTTTTGTGTATGGCTTCTCCAGCTTCCTGAAAGAACGTCACCATCAATGCTGCTGTTCCCCAGCGATCTAAAGTGTCTCCAACCCTCTTTATATTGTATATCAACGACTTATTGGAAAAAACCAAGAATCCAATATATTGCTTCGCTGACGACAGCACACTTGTTTCGTCATTCCATTTGGATTCCAGGCCATCGGCTACGGAGGCACATCTCCACCGGCAGCAGGAGGTTGGATATCTTAATGAGAATCTCGAAATAATTTCAAATTGGGATGAAAATAACCAGGTTCAATTCAATGCCACAAAAACCCAGCCATCGGTTTTCTCCAAAAAGCTAAATGTCTTTGAACCGAATATAATCAGGTCAGATAATACCACTTTCTGTCTCGATAGGTTTTGGAAAAACACTTTCTGCTTCTTAACAGTTTTCTGATAGTTCCTCTATTCCATCAAGGATGATTTTTCACCACAAAAATGATGCAGAATTTCGGAATCATTGCTAAATTCTTCTACTAAACAAGCGGGGAATTTAGAGTAGAGAGATTGCCAATTAAATTACGGGCATTTTCAAAGATAGTATCGCGAATATATTCAATGTAAAATATGTTGTCAACAGGTGGACTGCATGGTCTGGAGATGGAATGCTTTGAATACGATAGAATTCTGATTTTTGAATTGAAGTTACGAAAAATAATGACATGGACGAAAATAATCGTTCAAATCGTCATCATTCTGAATTCTGGGTGATGGTTTCTTACTGTTCCCTATTTCAATTTGAGCCTTTATTCGAGCAATTGTTTTTTTTCGGTGTCAAATGGTTCTGACGTAAATAAAACTTTGATAGGAGTATTGCAAGCGTACGGTTTGGCTGACTCTCCATATATCCTACTGCGTAAAAGGCAGAATAATTCGAACAACAAAAACGTCTTTGTCAAGTTGTGCGGTAGGGTTTTTCCGGAGTTTCTCCAACAGTCGTTCACCTTGCTCTTCAGTTACATCTCTTGAAGTTTCTGAAAAGTAGCTGAAGATAAATAAATGAAGAAAATGTATCTACTTTGAAACTCATTAGGCAACCTATATCTTAACATTTTTTTATTGCCAAAAAATATATCTACGACCTCTCTGGAGGCAATTCACTTTCTTTGAGGATCTGATGGAAGTGACAAATTGCTTCATCAATCCCAGCCTTATGTGAAGCGGATGTAGAAGAACTTTATGAGGAGGCACCAAAGTTTTACGCAGGACTTTTTTCGCCAACGTTATGCTTCCTCGGAGGCAACACTTTTTGATCCAGTGATCTGCTCGGTCTCTACTATCCAAAATACACAAAAAGCAGAATTTTGTAAACCCAGATTATTGTCTGAACAACAACACGCCCAAGATTTGTAAATCACCACACACTTTCCGACCGTCGTCTTCATATTTTAATTTGCAAAGGATCAATTTCAGGTTCTTGTATGTTTCCTTGAGGTGTACAGAATGACCGACAGGAATGGAGGCATAGAAACCGTCATTATGAAGCAGAACTGCTTTAAGACTTCCTTTTGAAACAACTATACGCCACTTGGGTCATATGATATATTGAATGTATGATCAAACCAATATTGGTACAATATACCAACACGCCCTCTTGGCCAAAATCGGGTACAGGGCGTTCTTTATTCAGAAAGATATGATTATTTTGGCCTGCAAATAATTATTTAATCAGGCAAGATAACTTCTCATTTCGATTCGCAACCGAAGAAGCTATTCATGAAATCCTAAATGATATTAAAAGTCAAGCTTCAGGGGTTGATAATATTTCAATCAGAATGTTGAAACTTTGTAGCCCGTTTATAGATAAATATATTACACTTATCATCAATTGTTGTTTTGAACGTTCATATTTTCCAGACTTGTGGAAAATGGCCATTGGGAAACCCATTTCCAAGAATAATGATCCAGCTAGTTATTCTGATCTCAGAATTATCAGTATACTTCCAACCATGAATAAAATTTTTGAAAGAGTTATTTATTTACAAATTATTGAATATTTCAATACCAATAATCTATTATCACCATCGCAATGTGGTTTTAGGTAGGATTTTAGCACGGCTACAGCTCTTGCTACTGTGACACAAGACATTGTTGAGGGATTTGATAAGGGAATGATTAGCACTCTGGTACTACTAGATTTTTCGAAAGCATTCGATACCATCAATCATGAGCTGATTTGCATGAAACTCAAATATTATGGTTTTGATAGTGTTGCCTTATTTCTCATCTGGTCTTATTTACTTGGTCGATCTCAAAAAGTTGTTATTGATGCTCATCACCCCTCACCTCTTGATATTCTATCAGGAGTACCACAGGGTTCCATTTTGGTACCTTTATTGTTCATCTTTTATACTACTGACATTATCTCGTCCATCAAGAAATGTAAAATACAGGCGTATGCTGATGACATACAATTATACATGCACTTTAAAATCGATGAGTGTGCTGAGGCACAAAATCTCTTTAACACTGATCTTGATTTGATCAGTAGGCTATCAAGTGAACATGATTTGAAAACTAATCCTGATAACAATGATGATGCACTTTGGATCGCAGAAGAATCGTAAATTTGCAGAAAACAATTTCCGTTTAGAACTAGGTCATACTATCTTGAGTCCTGTCAATACAGCTAAAAACTTAGGGGTCATGCTTTACACTGATCTTAGATTCACTAGTCATGTTAAAAAATTAATAAAAAAGCTTATATGTCATTGAAACTGTTATACTGTAATCGTTTTATTTTGAGCCAACCTCTAAAAAGAATGCTCTGTGATAGTTTGGTGCTAAGCCATTTCAACTACTGTGACTTCATATATGGGCCATACTTATATGATTCAGATAAGAAAAGAATAGAAAAAGTGCAAAATTCTTGTTGCCGCCTAATTTATGGACTTCGTAAGTATGATTCAATTTCTGAAGCCTTTAAAAACTCCCGTTGGCTCAATATGAAAAACCGTATGATTCATTATTTGGGTTGTTTTGTCCATAAATTGATCACCCTTCGCCATTCTCCTCTTTTAATACAAAAACTAATTCTGAGTGAAAATATTCACTCAAGAAACATTAGACCTAAAAACAAATTAATTATGCCACAACATCGCACTGCAAAGTTTCAGAGATCATTTCTTTTTGGTGCTGTAAAACTCTACAATTCATTGCCTCAGCAATTGAAGAGATTCAATATCAGGAAATTCAAATACAAATATAAAAATTTTATCTATGATAGTCAGTAATATCAACTTTTGCTTTTTAGACAACAGATCAATTAAATTAAATTATTTATCGACTATCTTTAGAAGGTGGTACCATCACTGTTAATTGCTTTTATTTTTGTATGTTTGCGTGCATTATGGAGTGGTGCTTGTTGGTTGAGTTAGAGTAAAAATTAAATTGTTGCCCTAAAGTTAGCCCAGAAAAACATTTAAGAAAATACAATTTTACATTTTGCAAAATAACCTGACGTTCTATAATTTTTTGAGTATTTTTTAGTTTTCAGAACACCTAAATACATAGAAATCAGTTGAAAACATCTTCTAACGGTGTTATCTGCGTAAAACTGAGTCTTCTTCATGAGTAAACACTATAATATAACAGACTATGTTTACTTTTGTTCACTTGTACTACGCAAATTTGTTCCACTTGTGATATTTCAATATGCCCCTATCATAAAATCATGATTTTTTCGATTTTCAGCTGGAAGAAATCAATCTTGTTCGCTCCCGAAAGGTCGAGGAGTAGGTGGATCATCACTACTAAATGGCCTGGTGTACTCAAGAGGACATCCTTTAGACTATGACAAATGGGCTGAGTTAGGTAATCCAGGATGGTCTTTCGAAGAAGTACTTCCATATTTCAAGAAATCAGAGGACTTCCGTCACTCTGATAAAGAAGCGCCGGTGGACTTTTCCTATCATGGCACTGGGGGATACCACGCGGTTGAATATAACATGCCTAGAAGCACGCAACTCAACGAATTTCTAGAGGCAAACCGGGAACTTGGTTACAACATAACAGACTATAATTCTCTTTGGGAAATTGGGGCTAGCCCTACACAGTTGAACACTAAAAATGGTAAACGGGCAGATTGTGGTACTGCCTTCATCAAACCAATTTTGAGCAGGAAAAATCTGGAGGTGATGACTAATAGTTATGCTACAAAATTACATTTCGAGGGAAACAAATGTGTGGGGGTTTATTTTTCCCATAACAAAAAAATATATGAGGCAAGAGTTCGGAAAGAAGCAATACTTTCCGCTGGGGCGCTTGGATCACCGCAGCTGCTCATGCTATCTGGTGTTGGACCCAAACAGCATCTCCAAGATGTTGGTATTCCTCTTGTTCAGGATTTGGAAGTTGGTTCGGTTTTGCGACAACATAGTATGTACTATGGTCTCACATTTTCTAGTAACTTGTCGGCTCCTGCACGCCCTTTCAAAGACTACATAGATGAATATTTGAATGGGTACGGCCCCTTGACATCGAACGGACCTAACTCTGGTGTGGGTTTCTATCAAACTCCTCTAGAAAAGACCCCGAACTATCCTGACTTGGAATTGATGTTTTTTCCTGCGAACTCTACGGCTACCAATCTTAAGTGGCTATCTTCGTTAAATCAAGAAACTTACGAAGCAACCTGGAAACACACTGATGTGACCAGCAGTTTTTTGATATACCCAGCAAATTTACATCAGTACTCAGTGGGTTCAGTCAGACTTGGTAGTTCGTCACCTTATGAATACCCCGTTGTGGATACGAACTATCTATCAGATCCCGATGACCATGATATTAATGTTTTATATGAAGGAATTAAACTTTCTTTGGCACTCATTGAAACGAAACCATTCCGAAGAATCAATGCGACACTTCAAGTGAAGCCTCTACCAGCTTGTAAGGAATTTGAGGCGTTCTCGAAGGATTACTGGTTCTGCACCTTGAGACACTTAACTTTCGATGTTTTTCATCCTATGAGCACTTGTCAAATGGGTCCTGACCCTAAGAAAGGAGCTGTCGTCAATCATTTAGCTAAAGTTCACGGACTGATGAATGTCAGAGTGGCTGACGCCAGTATATTTCCTTTCACAATCTCTGGACATACCAGTGCGCCTTGTGTTATGATTGGAGAAAAAGTATCTGATCTCATCAAGCTTGATTACATATCAAAATTCAGAAAGTAATTATGTTGAAAATTTACTGTACTTGTAAATATAATATAGAGTTCAATTTTTAATTCAAGTTTGAATTTTCAACTTCAATGTGGAGTTGACAATGTCAGGGCCTTATTTTCAAATCAAGTGATCCGATTTTTCTCTCAATGTGAAAGTTCACTTGATTCGAAAATAATGATGATAATGAGCGAAAGATGTTTTAGACATTTATTAAAATGATGAGTTTTTGATCTGTTATGGTACATTGAACCTTATCCATTACACCATTTTTTTTAAAACGTCATTTGATGTATGTGTTTTCATATAATTATTTTGTATACGTTGTTAAAAGATTCTTTTAACATTTACATTTTTGTCAAGTATTTTCTACGTTTTCTTATGGTATTTTTAGTCTGGCCTCATTTTTAGAACAAAATAACTTATTCAGGAGTTCGCAGTTTGGATTTAAAATGCGGAAAAATACTGCTGGGGCAGTTTTTGAGCTAGCCAATTTCATAGGAGAGGGATTCGAAGACAAAATATCAACCTTGGCAGTATTTGTTGATCTGAGTAAAGCTTTCGATACTATGGTCTCAGAGGTATATCTCTTGATTTGATGCGATCTTATATGACAAATCGAACACAATCTGTGTACCATGACAATAAATTCAGTAAACAATCCCCAATAAAATATGGAGTACCACAAGGCAGTATTCTTGGACCCTTGCTGTTTCTTATATATATAAACGATTTGCCCTCTTCAATTAATATGAAGACTATCTTATATGCCGACGATACAACATTTTATACGAGGGTAAGACAAGGGGAGGAAACCACCGTTATCCAGGACATAACTGAGTCAGCTAATGATTGGTTCAACGCAAATAAATTACAAATCAATAAAGCGAAAACTCACACAGACAATCTTTCGAGTAGGTTATCTAAGGCCATTTATGCTATTAGACAAGTTAAAATTAATTTAGGTAGGGAAGCGGCTATCATGACATACTATTCACTATTTCATAATGTTATGACATATGGATTATTAAATTGGGGACACTCTACCTACTTACAGCCTATTTTTTTACTCCAAAAAAGAGCAATTAGAGCAGTTGTGGGTTTAAACAGATTGGAAAGTTGTAAGCCGTGGTTTGTACAGCTAGGTATTTTGACGTTACCTTCATCAGTCATATATACTAACTTGGTATTCATAAAAGAAAATATCAGCAACTATCAGACACTTCGTGATAATCATAATTATAATACAAGAAATAGAGACAACCTGCTGATTCCACAACATAAATTAGCAAGTACTAGTCGCAATTATCTAGGAATGAGACTGTTCAATAAATTAACTATTGAAATGAAAGATACACACCTGGAAATATTCAAAAAGAAACTGAAGAGTATTCTGTTGAGAAAAGCCCACTACGAAGTAAATGATTTCGAATTGTCCTAAGTTAATTTGAATTACAATTCCTGTTATTTTTTCATTCTTTTGGTTAAATTTGTTTCAAATTATTACATAATACTCCTAACTCTTATTTATAAATATGACTTACAGATTTGTTAATAATCTATATGGACCTTAATATGTTTATGTTTCACTTTTAAATTTTGTTTCATATGTCATGTGTTAGTAATCATGTTGTAATTTTACATTGTAAATAATTTATAATTTACAATTTTATATATGTCATATATGTGTATTTTATGTGACTTGTCCAGACACCATGGTGTACTTGTGATCAATAAAACAAATAAAAATAAATAAATAAAAAATAAACGTTTTCTGATATAAGTTTCAATTGTATAAAATGAAAACTTCAATAAATCTACTCATCTATCTACCTATATTTATGTCTATATATCTATCTATCTGGGTAACAATCGAATTTCGGATATTATAACGAAAATATTACGAGTTTATGAGACAACGATGAAAAAGTAAAGGATATGTGGATCGAAAGATCTGATGATAGTGCTATAATCAAAATCATCTGAAACACACGAAATTGAATTGTTACGGAAGATCATTAGTGTTGTGAAAATGTTGGACACATGACTACTCTCCAAAAATAAATCAGTGTTGGAACGAATATATGATCAGAGTAGATCAAAGAAAGTACAGATAAAAAAAATAGTACAGGTGTAAAATGTTCAAGTCTTAATATTAATGCTACGATGGTAACAAGAATGTTTTTAAATATTTATTAAATCAATAATGGAAAATAAAATTTCAATTCCAATAAATAGCGTTTTATTTGATAAACCAAAACTTGCCACATCAAATCTATCTTTATAAGGTACCATTGAAGAGCATTTCTTAAACGCTTTCAGATAAGGTATCACAAGTTAAGGGTTGCCATTTAAGAATAACAAGTTGACTGGAGGTAAGGGGGTAAGTGGTGTTGAGTTAGGAATATGAGAAGATCATTCAGTTTAGTTGATTTATAATTTTATTTCATCTAGTTGTATATAGTTGCTATTGTATTTAAAAAAAAGAAAAACAGTTTTTGTCAAAAAAGTCAAAAGAAACATTTCATTTTCTTTAACTGAGGAAAGTTATTAATTTCAAAAGGTTATGGGTCCAGATGATAAGTTGGCAATTCGTCAGTTCGATGGTACAGATTTCGACCATTGGAAATTTCGAATGGAATTACTGTTCAAAGAACATGAAGTTGAAGAAGGGAAGAGATTATGAGACATTTGAAATTGGAAGGTGAAAAATCAGAAGAAGTTCAGGTTGTTACACATTTATTGGTTACGTTACCATCACCGTATGATAGTTTAACTACAGCATTAGAGACATTATCTGAAGATAAAATAACATTAGATTTAGTAAAAAGAAGAATATTTGATGAAGAGAACAAGATAAACAATAGACATAGTAGTGATGAACTACAAAGTGCATTCTTCTTTAATAAGGTGGTGAAAAGGAAAACCTAGAATCCAGACCATTTAAATTCAATTGCTACCGATGCGGAGTCAGAGGTCATACAATGTCAGAATGCAAATACAAGGGTCACTTCAAAAATCAGAAAAGAAATTATAGAAGTGTTAACTTTAGTGAAGCGAAGCAAATGAGCGAAGAAAATGAAGAGTCTGCAAAGGGAACCGTGGCTTGTATTGCTTTCCTGACATCAGAACAGACAACTGAAAATGACGAGAAGAAATTATTATCAATTTTCATTGACTCAGGAGCAACAGATCATCTGATTAACGATGACAGGTTCTTTTCCTTTGCGAAGGTACTAGAAAAACCAATTTCGATTGCAGTCGCGGAATCAGAACAATCAGCAACAGAAATTGGTCAAATCGAAGTGAAACAACAATAAAAAATGTGCTTTTTGTTCCTGATTTGAGAGTAAATTTGTTATCTGTGAGGCGACTGGAAATGATGGGATTCAAAATTGTTCTTGAAAGTGGAGAAGCAAAATTATACACTGAAGCTGGTTTAATTGCCAAAGGTAGAAGAAGTGATCATCTTTATGGAATAACTTCCCGTTTGAAACAACGTTATATATCTCACATGACGTATAATTATGAAAACGACTTGTGGCATCGCCGAATGGGTCACGTAAGTCAGTCCAATCTGAATAATCTTGAAAGATTCAAAATGGTGGAAGGGATTGCAAATTTCAAAAGCAAGAGGGCGGAACTCTGTGAAGAATGTATGAGAGGAAAACAAACAAGACTGCCATTTAAGGTCATCAATAAACCAAGAAGAAGAAGGCCATTGGAGATCATTCATAGTGATATTTGTGGATCAATCACTCCTTCAACCTGGGATGGATATAACTATTTCTTTACGTTTATTGATGATTATACTCATTTCACAATTGTTTATTTGCTGAAAAGTAAAAATGAAATTTTGAAGAATTTTGAAATGTATGAAGAACTAGTAGAAGCAAATTTTCATTGAAAATTGCAAGTCTCAGAGTAGATAACGGAGGGAATATAAATCAACTGCTCCCAAAGTATTTTGTGAAGAAAAGGGAGTGAAATTGATCTACACGATGAGATATACACCTCAACAAAATGGTTTTGCTGAAAGAATGAATAGAACACTTCTTGAAAAGGCAAGAACAATGATATTTGATGCCAAAATGAAGAAAGAAATGTGGGGAGAAGCAGTTTTCGCAGCAGCATATTTAACTAACAGAAGTTACACACGATGGCTAATAAAAATAACTCCAGCAGAAATGTGGACAGGATTTAAACCAGATTTGTCTAAAATAAGGGTATTTGGTTCCAAGGCCTTTGTTCAAATACCTAAAGAAAAAAGAACAAAATTAGATGAAAGAAGTGTATGTAGTATGTAGAATGATTGGTTATGCCGAAAATGGTTATCACCTATGGAATGAACATGAAAGGAAGATTATTCTATCAAGAGATGTAATTTTTGACGAGAGGCATCCTCAAATCGAAAACCAAAATATTGAACATCAAATAATAATGCATATTGATGAAATGAATAAAGCGAAAGAAAATTCAAATTGTACAAAACCTGAAGAAACCATAGACATAATTAATGAAATTCCAGTAGAATCAGAGATAATAAATTCTGAAAAGGAAACAAGAATTCTTGAAAGTAAATTGTCAAATATTCAAAATGAAACGTCAATCATTGAAATGCCACCAATAGAAACCACGTCTGAAGTAAATCAGAAAAGAATTACAAAAAGGCCAGTCTGGTTAGATGACTTTGAAATCTACATGGCACTGAATACAGATTCAATAACAGAAAATGTACCAGAAAACTATAATATTGATAATTTACCACAAGATGATGCAAACAAATGGAAAAATGCAGTGAGAGAAGAATTAGACTCCTTAATGAAAAATAATACCTGGACTTTAGTAGACTGTTCTGAAAAAGTGAACCCTATAACAAGCAAATGGGTGTTCAAACAGAAAAAACATGTAAATGGACACGTAGAGAGGTACAAAGCTAGACTGGTAGCAGAAAAAAAACATTTAATATAAAGAAAGGTATGTTTCCGTTGCAAGATTAACAACAGTTAGGTTATTTATGTGAGTAACAGTCCAATACAGATACCCATTGTTCCAGATGGATGTTAAAACTGCCTTTTTGAATGGATTTGTAGAAGAAAATGCATATATGGAGGTTCCAGATGGAATGGATTGCGAGAATGGAAAAGTATGTTAGCTGAATAGGTCATTATATGGCTTGAAACAATCACCAAGATGTTGGAATGAACGTTTCAATCAATACTTACTGAAAATCGGTTTTGACAGATCAGTCAGTGATTACTGTTTATATACCAAATTCTGTGATGATCAAATAATATATTTGATTTTTTTTTGTCGATACCTTACTTCTTACTGGAAATAGCCAACAAGGAATACAGAGAGTGAAAAGGGAACTAAAAAATGAATTTCATATGACTGACCTTGGTAAAGAAGAATTATATATGGGAATGCATATCCAACACAATTTTGAGAAAAATGAGCTGGTCATCAGTCAGAAACAAAATATTGAATGTCTTTTGAGGAAATATGAATGGAAAACTGTAAATCAGTAAGTACTCCAATAGAAAAATATTTGAAATTAGAGAAAATTTCTGAGATCAGTCTGAAAACTGACGAACCGTACAGGGAACTCATTGGTAGTCTTATGTTCATTATGTTAACTGCACGCCCAGATATTTGTTTTGCAGTAAATTATTTGCATCGTTTTCAAGATTGTGCAGGAGAGGGACACTGGAAACACCTCAAAAGAGTTTTAAGATATCTACACAGAACTTCTGAACTGAAACTTTGTTATTCTGGTTATTTATTTAAATCATTTGGAAATCTGATTTCGTAGACAACAAAGAAACAACTGTGTTTCACTTTCAACTACTGAAGCTGAGTACGTTGCTGCTTGCAATACTGCTTGTGAAGAAATTTGGTTGAAAAATCTGATAACTGACATGAGAATAAACTTTTGTAGTCCCATACAAATATTTGAGAACAATCAGGGATGTATTCAGCTTTAAAAGAATCCCGATACAAAACGGTCCAAACATATTGATATCAAATATTATTCAGAGAAAAACTAATAAGCAAAGAAATAGAGCTGAGATATGTGGAATCGAACAGGCAAGAAACAGATATACTGACGAAAGGAATGACAAGAGATATGTTTTTAGAGCTCCGAAGTCTATTAGGATTGAACGGGGGTTAAGTTAGGATTCAGGCGGGGTGTTAAGTTAGGAATATGAGAACATCATTCAGTTTAGTTGATTTATAATTTTATTTCATCTGGTTGTATATAGTTGCTAGTGTATTAAAAAAAAAGATAAACAGTTTTTGTCAATGAAAGTCAAAAGAAACATTTAATTTTCTTTAAGTTTTCAGCCATTTTTTACAGTTTATTCGGTTGCTCAGATATAGCCGTTGTAAGTTTTCAAATTGTCAAACTGTATATGCCTCTAAGCGCCGTTGAGAGAAATACATTTCTGAACTTTGAAATCATCTGGCATCTCTTACTTGGTGTCTCACAGCGACATTCATGTAAATGAATTGAATGCAGGTCTCTGATATCCTAGAAATCTTTTAAAAGCACATTTAGAAGTTTCAGTGTGTCACACCTTGCCGTAAAAATTTATGAGTTTTTGCTAATAATAATCGTGCATCATTTTAACTGTACTTTCTATATCCTACCATTTGCATTAATATTTCGATAATAATAATGTATGTAGTCAACTCATGATCTTAAACAGGAAATAATATAACCTTTTTGGGAGAAATGTTTCATATACAAAATCAGAACACCCGAACGTAAGGAAGTCAGAGGCGGAACAAATATTTTCATTTGACAAAAGTTCTTCCCACCAGCAGAATTGCCGATAATAAGTTTCGAACATTTTTTTAACCAGTTTACCAACATTTCTGCTGGCAAGAAATAATAATTTTTTAAAGAAATAACAGATGCTATTGTGTAGATATAAGAAATGAATCCGAATTGAAAAAGAATCGTCACTCCATAACAGATTATGACTGGCTTTTCCTTTTGGATAGTGTTCCTTTACTAAAGGCGTACTTAATGTTTAGATACGGGTGACAACAATAACCTGTAATAATTTGAAAATTGATAATTGAGTTTAATTATAAAGTAAATTATCAATTCAAGACACAACCAAACAGGTCGATTTTGGCTAAGAAGAATAATTATTTCACAAATTGGCATACTTGGAAACTGGCTATAAATCAAATTATCTAAAAAACAATTCGTTCAGGCCATCTGTGGATTTGACAGAAAATTCAAACTCATTTAATATCAAAGTTAAATGAGATTCCTGAATGTGATACTTCGCAAAGCCATGTTTTGAAATAGGCTGCCAAATGACAAATCTCTTTCTCTCCCTCCCTCTTCAGTTTCCACTACAAACAGGCCACTAAATGATACCAGATTACAAAAATGTTTCAATAAAGGATATCTCCTTCTTGATTTGCCACAGTAGTACTCGACTGGATTGTGAGTGGGAAATTCAACTTCTTCACCACTTCTCACTCTTTCCAGGATTCGAATTCAGAGTTTAAAGTAAAAATATCAATGAAAAAGATTTTTCATGAATTCATCAAATCAGAGAGCAATTCCAGAAGTTTGAAATACATATTATGTTAGGAAAAAATTGGAGTTAATGTGGAATAGTTGTGTACAGTAATCGATACAAATTTTGAGTTTATAAGTAATTTCTTTTAATTTACGGTGACTTCAAAGGGTATGTTTACATTATGTAAGTTACGATCAATAAAATAGTTGTTACATCAACTGATTTAAAATTTTAAACATCAATAAACTCTACATATTCACCATAAACTCACCTTTGTTGTAGTCTAACCAAAACCCAATTCCAGCTGAAACGAAAGTAAAAGACTGCACAATTAGAAAATCAGATGACAGTACCAATGGTTTCATATCTTTCTGATCAGAGGCTAACACCATGAGTCAGAATTTTTTAACTCCACGATTCCGCCTCTCACACAAAAGGATGATTGAAGAGTAATAACCATAGATAAAACATATGAATCCATTTCTTTAACAACTGGCACGAAGAAGAACTTGATGTGGGTTTCAGGTAACAAGGAAAGCTAGAAGCTGGAAATGGTAGCGAGATTCCTCATGGATCCCTGCCCACAAAAAAACACCTCTAGGAGGGGCAGACCAGACAGTGGAGTTGACGGTACAGCGGCCATGCTGCCCAATCTGCAGAATTCTTGCTTTACAAATGTCAAACTTTTGTTCGTTATATAAATCATAATAATACGCAATTTCTGCTAAAAAACTTTCATCTGACAATAACTCCTAGTCACCATTTTTTAATTTTGAAACACAAATTTTCAGCTGAAGTTTGTGAATGTAATTATTTTGTTTTGCTTATATGGTTTGTTTTCTATCATATATTTAGATTATTCGGAACCTTTTTAAAGTATCAGTGACTTCTCCATAAATCAAAATTGGTATTTTTATTTATTAAAATTCAAATATATGGTTTTTTCTTATCTCATTTGCAAATTGTTCCTTTTTTTCATGGTAATCAGTATGTTTTCACTTCTATGATAATGCCCAATTGGAATTTAACTATCAGTAAATAAATTAAGTTACGTGTTTGCGAAATGACGTTTTTCAGTTATTCTAATGATAATTAACCCATAAATAGTGCCGCGATCATATGAAAATGGTTATTCATCGAAATACCTGTAGAATATCGGTTGAGCTATGTTCAAACTGTTTGTACTATGGATTTCAGTGACTTTAACTAGAAAATGTGTTACAGGTAATTGGCACAGCAATGTATAACTTGGTGTAACAATTTTTTTTTTCAGGATATCACCGTTTAGATATTAGAGGCACGTGAGTAAAAGAAAATATTTACACTGATGGTATAAGATTCTCTATTAGGAATATATTTGTTTTACTCAGATAGACTTTGAGATGGAGTTGTCCACAACTCAAAGAATATTCATAACTTATTGAAGTAATACTATATTGTAGAATTTCCACTAGACAGTTTACAAAATCGCAACACGTGTTTCGCTATACAATAGCTTTATCAAGCGTTTCTTTATCAACTGTTATAAAGCTTTTGTTTGAAGGTGATTGACAATGTTTCATGATGATTTTCACTAGTTGGGACTACCATTGTCTAATATATAAAATGTTTTGAAATCCCTGAAACAACTAAAAAAAAGAAGAATTAAAAATGAATAGCTGAAAATAACAGTTATATTAAGCAAAAATAACCTAAAATGAAATAATAGTGGAATTGAATAAATAAAATGAAATAGTGGAAAAAAAATAAAAGTAAAAATAATACCATTGAACAGAAAATGAAGAAATAAAAATGGAAATGAAAATAAAAAGTGTAGAGATTCCAAGTCACGTTAGTTCACGACGTTTCGATTGTTAGTATCTACAATCGTCTTCGGGTGATGACTGGACTGATTTCTTCGAGAGATGACTATTAATGGGTTGTTCGAGTACTTTCAATTATATCCTCGATTTCCATTTTTTCCGCTTCACTGGTTCCGTGGGAGATGACCGTTTGGCGGGAGTTGGCCATTTTTCGCTTTATGATGGGTTTCCATATGTTGCGTATCTCTACACTAGCTTGACTGAATATGTTGTTGGACAACATGTAAGCGGCTTCCTTGAATTTTCTCCTAAACCAATGCTCCTCTCTGTGCAAGATCTCAGCTTGGGACCACTCGATGTTGTGTTGATGGGTCCAAACATGGTCAGCTATTCCTGATTTGCTGGTTTACCCTCGCTGTGTGTGTTTCTTGTGCTCGGCAATGCGAACATTCAATGGCCTCTTAGTTTCACCAATATAGAATTTTCCGCACTCACAGGGTATCCGGTAAATGCAATTCTTGTGAGGCTGCTACGGATAGTGTTACCGGATCTGAAGCAGGTTCTGATGTTGTACTTGGAACCAATTCTTCTTATCCTCTTCCCTACATCCTCTGATGTAGGGAAGTGCAAGCACTGGTTGTGATGGATTCTCTTCCCTGCGAGGCTACTGGCATCGCCACTTTCACCAGTCATAGCCAACGTATATATGAAGTGGTTTGAAACTCACGTGTCAAAGTGTAAAAATAACGGTTCAGTGTTCATTACAACACCAAAGGTACCAAACAGTGCATCACAAGTCTTTGATAACTCGATTGATTTCAGCGTGGTTTGATGCCGTACGAGTGAGAAGAATTTGCAACAATTTCCTCTACGAGAAACTTTGAACACATGATTGTCGTATATAATCAAGTGAATGGCCGTCGTGGTATTAGCCAGAGAATTATTTGTTTTTTTGACAAGTATTCACCACATTCCACTAGGGACGTTTGGAGAGGTGATTGAAAATATTTATTTTCTCGGTATGTTTGTTCCTCTCTCTGAAAGCTTTTTTTTCGAGCATTCTGTTTGTTCTTCACTTATATTTTTAGCGACAAGTATGCGCCATTCAAGCACTTCAACTTAATTATGTAACGAAATCCTTTTTTTTGCTTGGATCAAAGAAAACACAGAAAAAAACCTATTACACCTTCAGAATGAATCTCAGAATGAGTCGAGTCGTATTTTATGAAATCTATTTTACTATTGTACACTATTCAATTCTAATATGTGTAAGATAGAAGTCTTGAGATATCTATCTTCTTTTTATTTTTGATACATTTTCAGGGATCATCAGAGCAGTGAGGTGGAATATCTAACAACACTTATAGAATCGGCACAAAAGAACGGTCTCACATACCAATTTCAGAAAAATGCGGATAGATATAGGCCGAGAGATGAGAATAAGACTGAAGGTAACTTTCAAAATTAAGTTTGAATATTCACAAAAATTCAACTTTCACATAGATCATTAGAGAACTGTCGTTATCTTATACATAATGATAGATAAAAAATTGAATATCCAAATATGATATTGATTATAATGTAATTATAATTATAATTAAGATTATTCAAATTTATTCATGTGTGGATGTGATAAAGTTATTTCAAGGACGAGTGATACATTTGCGACCCAATTATGGATCCATATACAGTGCTAGTCAAAAGTCCCCTCCCCCCCTCGTATCTTTGGAACGGGTATACTTATAATAATGAAATTTGGAGGGTGGAAATAAACGGATGTAGGCTTCTTAACTGGTCATAACAGGTGACGCAATAGTCATAAATGACGTCACAAGGCCACTGTGACCAAAAATTTTAAATGGGACCCTATGGCAAGTGACAGCTCGTTTGAAAGGTATTGAAAATACCTATTCAGTCATACCAATTTTGTTTGGGTTTCGGCTGATTTTGATTGATA